AATTCATTGTAGGAAAGCCTCAAAATGTTAGTAAAAATTTTTCAGAAACTACACAAGAACAAAAAACAGAACGCATTGGGATAGGAATTAATATTTAGACCAGAAACAAAACCAAGTAACTATTACATGGGTAAATTCTGAGATACTCAGTTGTTGAAAGAGTAACACTTTCATAAGAATTTAAAGGTTAATAATGCCTCTTAGAGTGGGTTTAAACAACTAGTATGAATAAAAACAAATTTTTTTGGCAAGACCCAAATGAGCAGTAGAGTCTAGACACCCTAGCCCTGTGCAGTTTCCAAGTGCTGTATTCTAAAGCAGTTGCTCCAGTGTGCCATCTACAATGCACACATTTTCATGCGCATGGTATTTCCAGATTCTTAGGAACTGGAAATAATACCCATTTTTTTTAACATTGAGATATTTGGTTGCTTTCCCACATTCCCATCATGGATAATGACAAATAAACATGATCACAGGTCCTTGCCTCTCACATCTTAGGAGACCAGAGCAAAGTACAGACTGGATAGGCTATGACAGCTCTGCCAAGCAAACCTAAGATGTTAAGGACCAAGGAAACTGGCTTTGTGATGTAGAGGAATACTGTCTTCCCAACTCTGCTAAAACTATTCTAAACTAACTACTTAATAGTTTAACAGCCCTGCTTAGAAAAAGAAAGGGAAGAGTAATGTCCTTTTTTTAATCACAACCACCTCATATGACAAGATCTTTAAGCACAACCTCACACAGATAGGAATCATACAGCATGGAAGAGTCATGTGTTCATAATACAGTGGCTATAAGTTAGGCAGTCCATCCACACATCATCCTAGTCAAGGTTTTCAACTAATCACTGAGATGAAATACATGCTAACTTACCTAGAACTGAGCTCCAGCAAATCTATGGACTTAGTCTTTAATTCTCCATTTTTTTCATATTCCAGCATAATTCCTACAAAATAAACAAGCATGATATAGAATGTTTAAAGAACAAGCAGGAAAAGAGTCAATCTACTTTGACTTTTTCACTTTTATTTTTCAGATTTGTAATACATGTGTGTGTTGTATGTATGTGTTCATGTAGGTATATGCACATGTGCAAGTGGATGCATAGGAACACACGTATGCATGCATGTGAAAGTCAGAAGTCAATGTTAGTTCTTTTTCTTTGATACTCTACACTTTTCAAGGCCACTTGCTGAGCCTGAAGCTCGTTGATCATTGATTTGCATAGGCAGGCTTGCTAATGAGCATGAGAGATCTACTGATCTCTGCCTCCCAGACCAAGACCTTCACCTCCCAGACCACGACCATCACCAACACTGCCCTTTGTGCTAGGGATGTTATGGGGAGACTGCGCTGGGCTCCCGGGCATGGGGTGCGCTCACTCCCTGTGGATCCGCAGACTGCTCTGGGAAGCGGCGGCTCTGGGAGTGGCACGGCGGGTCTGCAGACTTTTCCCGCCGGCTGCTTCGGGTCCCGCGTCTCTGGTGTTGGCGACAGCTGGTGGCTGCCGCAACTTCTCTGATGCTGAGAGCTTACTCTGCTACTGGAGCATTGTCCAGCCGGAATCCCATCTCCATTCCACCCATGTACTCTTCCTCAGGATGCGAGGCTCCTGGCCACTGAACCACGCAGGGAAGGAGTACGGAGACGGCGAAAGCTAGTGTGTCCGTGGGTCGGTAACGGAGAGTGCTGCCCTCCGGGGGGATTAGGTCGCCGGTACACAAGACTCAAGGTTCGGCTCAGTCTGTGCTTACAGCTTTAGTCTCTCTGGGACCCAATCTCTGGGACCCAGTCTCTGACCCAATCTCCCACTATTAAGAGAAGGCTAGGATATTTTATACCATGGGGGTAGTGGTAAAAGCTTTGGCTGTTAGATGCTTTGTGAGACATTCTATTTACATGTGGAAGTGGATTTCTGCCACACTGCTAGACTGCTGGCCGCCTGGAAAAATCACACAGGAAGGCATGGTCTGCTTAGAGCCAGAGGCCATGTTTATGTCAGGGCATTTGTGGCGGCCACTTCAAAGGGAGAGTCAGGAAAGATGTCAGAAAAGCACCCCGCTATGAAAGGAGCCTGCAGCACATTAATCCCGAGCTGCATGAGCTGTCTGGTGTGAAGGGACTTCCACTTTGCATAACAGAGGTCTCCAACAGGATGTGAAGTCAGATCCTCACATTTGCATGGCTTATGGTTTGAATGTGAAATATCCCCATAAGCCTAGATGTTTGCAAAACCAGACACATGAAGATGCCAAGAGCAAATACTGGAGAGAAGACAGCATCTTTAACAAATGGTGCTGGGAAAACTGGTTATCTGCATGTCGAAGTATGAAAATTTATCCTTCTCTCTCATCCTGCACACAAATCAATTCCACAAGAATCAAAAGTCTCAATGTTGGACCAGAAACACTGAAGCTTCTAGAAGAAAGAGTAAGGAGTAAATTTCAGAATTTAGACTTAAACAAGGATTTTCTGACTAGGACTCCAGCTGCCAGGAAATAAGACCAACAATCAACAAGCAGGACTTCATAAAATTTAAAAGTTTCCGTGCTACAAAGGAAACTGCTAATCAAGTGGAGAGACAGTGAATAGAGTAGGAAAAGTATCCTTGCCATTTGTACTTCTGACAGAGGATTAGTATATAAAATATATAAAGAACTCAAAAAAACTAAACACCAAGAAAACCACTCAATTAAAACATGGGCTATGGAACTGAACAAAGAGCTCTCAGGAGAAGAAATAGCTTTAACCCCTGGGGAATATAAATTGAAATTACTATGAGATTTCATCTTAACCCCAGTCAAATGACTAAGATCCAAAAAATAAAAATTAAAAAGTTAAAGCAATGACAAATGCTGGCGAGGATGTGAGGAGTGGGGAACCCTCACACACTGTTGGTGGGAGTGCAAACTCGTGCTGCTATTATGGAACTCAGTGTGGTACTTCCTCAGAAAACTAGAACTAGCTCTACCATGTGATCCAACTATACCACTCCTGGGCTTATACTCAAAGGTCTCTAGTTCCTAGTACAGAGATACTTGCTGATCCATGTTCATAGGTGCTCTATTCACAATAACCAGTTCATGGAAACAGCCTATATGGCCATCAACTGATAAACAGAAAATGAAAGTGCAGTTCACCTACACAATGTAATTTCATTTGGCTATAAAGAAAAACTAAGTTATGAAATTATGCTGAAGGGTAAAGACAGAAAACTTTATACAGGATGAGGTAATCCAGGCCCAGAAACACAAAGTCTCATGTTCTCACTCATATGTGGATCAGATCTTTCAATCTGTCTATTTAGCAGTACCTGAAGAATCCAAGAAACCAGAAAGGGACTACCAGTAGAAAGGGGGACAGAAGATCTTAGAGGAGAGGGGAAAGTAGAACACAGGTGATATGAACAGGGAAAGAGAACAATGGGAGTGGGGTGTGATGGGGGAGGGGTTGGAGGTTAGGGCAGGGGGTAGCCAAGAGCGATAACTGATACTAATGATATCTGAAAAAGCCATGTGGAAATCGACTACATCATAATCTTCAGAGAGTGGAGGGAGAGTTAATCGGGGTTATCTTACAAAAGAGATTATGCTCATCCCAAAAGCTATCAGTTGCCAAATCAAAATCAAGTTCTAGGTGTGGGATATTTCCCCTGGAATTGTTGGTCAGAAGTGTTCCAGAGACCCCAAAATAATACAGGTTACTGCCATTGCTCTTGGTTGCCCACCAGGTCTTGATGGTAAGACCCTGTTGCTAAAGACAATACACATGTTGGTCATAGGACACGGAGAAATCAACTTGGTACTGATCAAGAAGATTCCCGTCTTCTGGCTTGCTTTAATGGTACCAGAAGGTGCCACAAAGGTTGCTGGAAAAAAGTCACCAACAGTCTTACCCAGCTTTGAGCTATGTGAAATGTACTAATCATCAGCATGACAAGATATGCCCATGAGCACAATAGTGCCACTAATGTCATGAGGGTCACCAACTGTCTTCTGGTTGGATGTAGGGCCGCTCAACAGGAGGAAACTCATTCTTAGTACTGCAAATCTGGGGAACAGCCCATTGTTGGGGAGCTTACAGGCCCCAGGGGTGAACCTACTACCATTATTTTTGCTAAATGAACATCATAAATTCATATTTCTATAACCATAGATGAGTGCAGCCCTTAGACCTCATCAGAGAAGTTTCCTTGTACAATGGATGGTGGTTGATGCAGAAACTCACAGCTGGTCAAAGTGCAGAGATCAAGTGTCAGTGGCGTGCTCAGCCACAAGTGGGGCATTTACAGCACACCTGTCCCCAGCACTCAGGAAACACTGGGGAAGAAATGGTGGAAAGACTGTAAGAGACAGAGGTCAAGAATGGAATAAACGGCGTCTTCTGGATGTGGAAGGACCATTGCACTCAGGCACTCCCTGCAGCTGCAGCTGCCTGCATAAGATCAAGCCAGAGAACATTCTAGCATGGAGTGGGAAAGGCTTCATGATTCCCACACCAGAGGAGCTATGGAAAACTGATCCCTCCTCTGGGAGGAAGGGTTAGTTTTATTTAGGGGTATGGCCCTTGGTAGGTCCACCAGCTCCAGTAGATGTACCCGCATCCAGGAACATAGAAACAGCGCAGGTGGAAGAAATGGGTTACTAAAAGCAAAGCAGGGACATGAAGTTGGGTGATAGGAAGATGGGAATGGATCTGGAGGAAGTTATGGGGAGGTTCCTGGGAGGAGGTGAATATGGTCTAAAGACCTTGTATGGAATCCTCAAGGAATTAATGAAAAAAAATTTAACTTAAAGAAAGGTGGGCATGACAGCACACATCTTTAATCCCAGCACTTGGGAGGCAGAGTCAGGTAGATCTCTGTGAGACTGAAGCCAGCCTGGTCTACATGGTGAGTTCCAGTCCTGCTGGGGCTACAGGGAGACCATGTCAAAAAAAAGCCAAAAGTAAAGTAATTAATTTAAGTAAAAGAAAATAGAAGCAGCTCACATGTTTGGTTACTTGATTCCCAGCTGGTGATGCCATTTAGGGGTGTCTTAGAACCCTTAGGAAATGGAGTTTTGTGGGTGGGAGTAACTCACTGGGGATGGACCTGGAGGTTTTACAGCCTCTATTTCCTGTGCACACTCTGCTTCCTGACGGTGAATGAAATGTGGTCAGCAGTGGGGAACCGCCTTCCTGCCTTCTGTGAAGTCTTTCCACTACGATGGGTCGTGTTCCTCTGGAAGTCCAAATCAGAGCAAACCCATTCTCCTTCACCTTGCTTTTGTCAGGCAACTTTGTCGTGGCAAGAGAAAAAGAAACTAAGACACACAGTAGGCATTCTACCGTAGAGCATTCTTCCCAGCCTCGGAGTTTCATTCTTTAACACATAAAACGCCGAGTCAAGGTGTGCAGAGTTTGCTCTGGTCTTACTCTGAAGACAATGATAAAGAGTACGGACAGTTGGCTAGAAGGTTTAATGGACAGATGACTAGAGCTGTGGCTTGAGGAATCGCAGCACGACGAGTTCCTAGGCTTACGTATAGCTTCCCCAGGGCCACAAACTAGAGCCTAGCCCGCAGTCAACAAAAACCATAGAGCAGAAAGACAAGAAAAAAGACTGTGCTCAAAAGACTAGGGACAGGGAAACCAAGTAACAAGTGGGAACTCTACAAGGCGTCAGGCAGCTGGGCCCCTGCAGAAAGCTGGTCCACAGGAAAAGCCCTGAGCTGCCCCAGTCCCAACACATACAACGGCACCCCACACTGCAGCAGCAACCACAGTAAAGTCTGACTTCAACTCCTGCTCCATAGTGGGCCCCACTGGTGACAGAAGGAAAGCTGGTCCACAGGAAAAGCCCTGAGCTGCCCCAGTCCCAACACATACAGGCACCCCACACTGCAGCAGCAACCACAGAAAAGTCTGACTTCAACTCCTGCTCCATAGTGGGCCCCACTGGTGACA